AGTTTTACCACGCCACCTCGCGCCGGGTCTTGCCCTCTCAGGACGTCACTTTTGACGAGTCTGTCCCCTACTACCGCCTCTTCCCCTACCGCACTTCCCCGCTCCCTCCCCCGCCTCTCTTCCTCGCGCCAGGTGCTGCTGTTGTAGACCCCCTCCCCCCTCAGGGTGCCGCTCCCTCAGGTGTGTCTCAGGTAGACCCGGTCGAGCCTGTTGAGGTTGCTGTCGACTCTCGTCCTGCTGGGAGTGCTGAGCCTGGGGGTGCGGACACTGGGGGTGCTGAGCCTGGGGGTGCGGGCACTGGGGGTGCTGGGCCTGGGGGTGCGGACTCTGGGGGTGCTGAGCCTGGGGGTGCTGACTCTGGGGGTGCTGAGCCTGGGGGTGCGGACACTGGGGGTGTTGAGCCTGGGGGTGCTGTGCCTGGGGGTGCTGAGCCCGGCGGTACTGCGCCAGGGGGTCCTCCGCCTGGCCGAGACCTCTCCTCGGAGCAGTTGCGTGAGTGGTACTTACAGTACTGCAGCCTCCGGAGGGGTACATCTGGGACCAGGCGTGCTACGGAGACGGGTGCTGGCACTTCTCCTTCTAGTCGGGAGCTCCCCTCTCGTGAGCGGATCCGTGAGTGGTACGAGCGCCGTTGCACACTTCGTAGTGGCGCGCCTCGTCTCACGGACCCTGCTGCTGCTAGTGCTGCGGACCCGGGCGTTGGAGCTGCTGCTGGTGCTGCGGACCCGGGCGTTGGAGCTGCTGCTGGTGCTGCGGACCCGGGCGTTGGAGCTGCTGCTGGTGCTGAGGACCCGGGCGTTGGAGCTGCTGCTGGTGCTGCGGACCCGGGCGTTGGAGCTGCTGCTGGTGCTGACGACCCGGGCGTTGGAGCTGCTACTGGTGCTGAGGACCCGGGCGTTGGGGCTGCTGCTGGTACTGCGGACCCGGGCGTTGGAGCTGCTGCTGGTGCTGAGGACCCGGGCGTTGGAGCTGTGACTGGTGCTGAGGGCCCTGGTATTGGAGTCCCTGCTGGTGCTGCGGACTCGGGCGTTGGTACTGCTGCTGGGGGCACTGGTGCTGTCCCTGCTTTGTCTGGAGTCGCCGCGCGCCCTCAGCCGTACTTCGTTCCGCTCCTTCAGCAGGTTCTTGGTCTCTCGCCTCCTCCTGGTCCTCCCCCTCCTTTAGTGTGTCCACAGCCTGTTCAGTCACTGCCTGCTCCTTCTCCTTACTCTAGTCCTACTGACGGTCTTACTGAGCGTCGTGAGCCTGCGTCTCGCCCTGCGTCGCCTGTCCGTCCTGCTAGCACTGGAGCTCGTAGTTCGCGTCCACGTCCTCCTCCTGCCCCTGGCACGCACCGGATGTCTCTGCGTCCTTCCACTGCCCCTCTGCGTGCCCCTTTGCCTTCTCCTCCTGCTTCCTCTCTTCCTGCTCTTGCCGACCCGGAGTCGGACTCTCTTCGTGCTACCAGTCCTACTGTCACGCGTCTCCTTGCTACTGCCGTCGTTGACCCTTCTTTCGAGTCTTCTGCTGCGTCCGCCCTGGTTGCTGAGCTCGTCGACTTTGCTGCTCGCTGTCGTCTAGACTACGCTGCTAGTCTTGTCGCCGAGTCTGAGTCTGTCTGTCCTCCGTCCGTCGGGGGTGCGTGTGCCCTTGGCACGGACGTCCTTGAGGACATGCAGGAGGAGTTCCAGTGCTTGGCTGCCGCTTCACCTCATCTCGCGTCTGTACTGCTAGCCCCTGAGGGAGACCCGGATGCACTAGACATCCCGACTCCGCGCTCTTACGCGGAGGCGATAGAGGGTCCCTACTCTTCTCAGTGGCAGGCAGCTATGGATGCAGAGATGGCTTCCTGGAAGTCCACAGGCACCTACGTTGACGCTGTCCCCCCTCCTGGGGCGAACATCGTCAGTGGCATGTGGATCTTCAGGGTGAAGCGGCCGCCGGGTTCTCCGCCTGTCTTCAAGGCGCGTTACGTGGCTCGTGGCTTCAGTCAGCGGCAGGGAGTTGACTACTTTCAGACCTTCTCCCCCACCCCGAAGATGACCACTCTTCGGGTACTCCTGCACGTTGCTGCTCACCGGGACTACGAGCTTCACTCTCTCGACTTTAGCACTGCTTTCTTGCAGGGCAGCCTGCACGAGGAGATCTGGCTGCGTCGCCCACCTGGCTTCACTGGGTCTTTCCCTCCTGGTACCCAGTGGAGTCTCCGGCGTCCAGTCTACGGTCTCCGCCAGGCGCCACGTGAGTGGCAAGACACACTGAGGACCACGCTGGCGGCACTTGGGTTTGCTCCTTCTACTGCCGACCCGTCGCTGTTTCTGCGCACCGACACTTCTCTGCCGCCGTTCTACATCCTTGTGTACGTCGACGACTTGGTCTTTGCCACTGCTGACACTGCTGGACTCGCCTACGTGAAGTCCGAGCTGCAGAAGAGACACACGTGCACTGACCTGGTTGAACTGCGCAGCTACCTTGGCTTGCAGATCACCCGGGACAGAGCACGCCGCACCATTACCCTGACTCAGTCACACATGGTGCAGCAGGTCCTTCAGCGCTTCGGCTTCACGTACTCCTCGCCTCAGGCCACTCCTCTGTCTACTCGCCACTCGCTCTCAGCTCTGCCTTCGGATGAGTCCGTAGAGTCGAGTGGCCCGTACCCAGAGCTTGTTGGCTGTCTCATGTACCTGATGACCTGCACACGACCTGACCTTGCATACCCTCTTAGCATTCTTGCGCGCTATGTTGCTCCTGGGAGACACCGACCAGAGCACATGGCTGCAGCGAAGAGGGTGTTGCGTTACTTGTGCAGTACGTCGGGCATGGGACTAGTGCTTGGAGGGCGGAGTCCAGTGGTCCTCACTGGTCACGCGGACGCTTCTTGGGCTGACGACCAGGCTACGCAGCGGTCGTCACAGGGTTACACCTTCAGCCTTGGTTCCGGCTCTGTTTCGTGGCGAGCTACTCGCTTGTCTTCTGTTCTCGGCTCCAGTTGTGAGGCTGAGATCTACGCAGGGGCCATGGCTGCTCAGGAGCTTTGCTGGCTCACCTACCTGCTGACCGACCTTGGAGAGCCGCCTCGTTCTCCTCCTGTCCTGTACGTTGACAACAAGGCCATGCTGGCCTTGTGTCGAGAGCAGAGACTGAAGCACAGAACAAAGCACATTGCTCTCCGCTACTTCCTTGCTCGTGAGCTACAGCAGCGTGGTCAGTTGCGACTTGCGTACGTGGCCTCTGAGGCCAACACTGCTGATGTTTTCACCAAGGCACTTGCGCCTTGTGATCATCAGCGCTGCTGTACCCAGCTGGGTCTTGTGTCTGTCTTGCCTCACTTGCTCTCCTCTTGACCCTCTTTGTACTGTTCCATATCTATATCACTGCTCTTGCTTGTTTAGTCTTATATATATATATATGTACTCCTGCATGTGAGCTGGCCTTGTGGCCTTGAACTTGTGCTTGGATTGTGTGGTGACGTTGTGATCCACCCTGAGCTTGCTTTGCTTTACTTGACTGGTCTTGTGACCCCTAGTTCTCCCCCACTTCGCTTATGGGGGTGTGTCAAACATTATATCTAATGTTGTAGTTGTTTAGGCTGCAGTGGGTTAGCCTATAGGGGGTACACACTTCTAGGTTTCCACATTTGTACTCATTCGTTCTTAGTCATTTTCATTCCTCGTTCAACAGTAACCCGCGCTCCGGGCCTCCGCTTCGACACTTTCCCAACCTCAGTCCCAGGCTCGTCGCACGACAACCACAGTCCATTACCGTTACCACTGTAGTTTCGCTATATATTCTTCGCTCATGCCTTCGCTCATTGTATTCTTGCTTCGATAGTGCAATTCTCGTTCGTTCACTCAATTGCACTCGTAACAGTTGCTAACATTCATCAACAGAAGGCACAAAAGTCCAGGAAGATATGAAACACAAAATACTAACTTTTCTGGTAGGATGGACCAGATGCAAATCGAGATGAATCAGTGAGAGCACTCTATTTTATAGAGTGAAGTTTTTTTTACTGCAGAGTTAACTGTCTCCCGAAAAAAACATAGCCTGATGCAACTTATTAGTCACTTACAACCCTGCCTGCCATGCCTGCTTCCGCCTGACTTACTAGTAACCACTGAGAGTTATTATTAGTCCAGTGACACAACTCTCCCACAAATGGCCCAATTGGTGCATCATTTTCTTACAAAAACAGCAGTTGCAATTATTAACACTATTACTAAAGCCCCAGTTACAGCCATCCCTGATACAACTCGGCTAATCCACCACTACTACGGTAAGCTCACTTGGTTAGGAAAAAAATAATCCTGTGCTTGGTTACTTATCATTTAATGTCTGATGGTGCTACAGCTGCCCCTGTTGGTGCTACAGCTGCCCCAGTTGTGGAGTTCACACTATTAAACCACAAGTCTTCAACCTTGCTACAACAACTGCCCCTGTCGGTGCTACAGCTGCCCCTGTTGGTGCTACAGCTGCCCCTGTTGGTGCTACAGCTGCCCCTGTTGATAGCAGCGGTATACATTTGGCACTACTGTTTGTTTTGTACAGTGTGCACCTTCAAATCGCCGAGACGAAAAAAACGAGGGTTGCAAGAATGTTGGTGAAAACCTGGGGCACTTCTGTTGCGAAGGAACAAGGGTTGGGTTGGTTGTGTCACACAAATGGTGAAATGCTCCCGTCACCCGCTCACCTACCATGCTCACACACAAGGAGAATATAACGCTAATAATTACTCCAGAATAGTAGATAACCAACGTGCACGCGTGAAGGTGCTACGCCAGCGCTCCCACACACGAAAGTCGCTCGTGAGTAATGAGGTGCGTGGGTAATTAGCTTAGGGCTCGAAACGACCAGCGAAAGCGCACAGAAGCAGCAGCCCGCACGGCAACTGTCGCGCGCTCCCCTCTAGCCTCACACGCGCAATTGCATTCAGTGTGAGGGAAAAAAAGTGCGCTTCAGCATTGCGCGCTCAGCAGAGCAACGCACGCCAGCAAAACACACGCAGCAAGGGGGCACTTCATATGCATAGCGCGCGAGAGATCTCAGCGCGTGCCTATAACGCCCTGCGCTCACCAAGCCGAGATCCCGGCGTCGCGCGTATGAGAAGTGGCGCTCGCGCCTTATCGTGCGCCCTGACGCATTCGCGCCATCGCATAAATTGAAGCATTGCCCTTTCCGCACTCCCCCATCCGCATTTCCCCTTCCACATCCCCCGTTCCGCATTCCCCCTTCCGCATTCCCCCTTTCCCGTTTCCCCTTCCACATCCCCCGTTCCGCATTCCCCCTTCCCCATTCCCCTGTCCGAATTCTCCCTTCCACATTCCCCCATCCGCATTCCCCCTTCCGCATTCCCCCTTCCGCATTCCCCCTTCCGCATTCCCCCTTTCAAATTCTCCCTTCCAAATTTGGATTCCGCATTCCCCCATACGTATTCCCCCTTCCGCATACCCCCTTCTGCATTCACCCTTCCGCATCCCTTCTATTGCGTTCCCCCTTCCGCGTTCCCCCTTCCGCGTTCCCCCTTCCGCGTTTCCCCTTCCGCTTTCCCCCTTCCGCGTACCCCCTTCCGCGTTCCCCCTTCCGCATTCCCCCTTCCGCGTTCCCCCTTCCGTTTTCCCCCTTCCATGTTCCCCCTTCCGTGTTCCCCCTTCCGCATTCCCCTTCCGCGTTTCCCCTTCCGCGTTCCCCCTTCTGCGTTCCCCCTTCCGCGTTCCCCCTTCCGCATTCCGCTTTCCACGTTCCCCCTCCTGCATTCCCCCTTCCACATTCTCCCTTCCGCATTCCCCCTTCCGCATTCCCCCTTCCGCATCCCCCCTTCCGCAAACCCGCTTTGGCACTCCCTCTTCCGCGTACCCCCTACCGCGTTCCCTAGCCTGTCTCGAACTCACTCCCTCGTGCTTCCCGCCTGATAACCCCATATTCCACCCATGCTAGCCCCATGCTTACCCCCATTCCAGCCCCACTTTCAGCCCTTGCTAGCCCCAATTTTTGCGGAGAGTCACCCTACAACGGGAGTGGACGACGAAGGAGGGCACGGGGTTGTGTGGGTGATCGTAGCGCTCTAGTAGAGCTCTTACTACTTGATGTTTTCTTAGAGAAATTTGGCCAGAGTTTCCACTAAGGAAATTGAAGGAACATTGAAAAAATCAGAATTAGAGTACACAAAATGAGGCATGCAAGTGATATGACTAGAATGGCATTGGAACCCCTAGCAAGAATTCTGCAAGGCGAATTGCCAGCACTGCATCAGAGAGATTCGCCAACGCTGCAGCAGGGTGGCCTTCCAGCGTAGCAGAAGGGCGACATGCCAGCGCTGCAGCAGGGCGGCCTGCCAGCGCTGCATTCGCAGGTGAATATCCGCGCAGGTGTGCACCTCTCGAGTAGGTGCAGGTAGACGGTTGCGCCATCAGAGACATTGCGTAGGTGCCAGGTAGAAAACGCTCCAACGGTTTCATCAGATGTTCACCGTCGAGAATGGAATGACTATGAAAGAAGTGAGTACAAATAGGAAACCCTAATTGGGTTGTACCCCCTATGGGATACCCCACTATAGCCTACACAATAGTATAAGCTATATAGTTCTGACACACCCCCATAGGCAAAGTGGGGGAGAACAAGGGGTCACAAGACCAGTCAAGCAAAGCAAAGCAAAGCTCAGGGTGGATCACAAAGTCACCACACATTCTGAGCACAAGTTCAAGGCCACATGGCCAGTTCACATGCAAGATCATATATAGAGATATACAAGAGTCAAGTAAGCAAGAGCAAGAGTATATATAGGCGAAGGTACAAGCAAGGTCAAGAGGAGAGCAAGTGAGGCAAGACAGGCACAAGACCCAACTGCGTGCAACAACGCTGATGATCACAAGGCGCAAGTGCCTTGGTGAAGACATCAGCAGTGTTGGCCTCAGAGGCCACGTACGCAAGTCGCAACTGTCCACGCTGCTGTAGCTCACGAGCAAGAAAGTAGCAGAGAGCAATGTGCTTCGTTCTGTGCTCCAGTCTCTGCTCTCGACACAAGGCCAGCATGGCCTTGTTGTCTACGTACAGGACTGGAGGAGAACGAGGCTGCTCTCCAAGGTCGGTCAACAGGTAGGTGAGCCAGCGTAACTCCTGTGCAGCCATAGCCCCGGCGTAGATCTCAGCCTCACAACTGGAGCCGAGAACAGAAGACGAGCGGGTAGCCCGCCACGAAACAGAGCCGGAACCAAGGCTGAAGGTGTAACCCTGTGACGACCGCTGCGTAGCCTGGTCGTCAGCCCAAGAAGCGTCCGCGTGCCCAGTGAGGACCACTGGACTGCGCCCTCCAAGCACTAGCCCCATGCCCGACGTACTGCACAAGTAGCGCAACACCCTCTTCGCTGCAGCCATGTGCTCTGGTCGGTGTCTCCCAGGAGCAACATAGCGTGCGAGAATGCTAAGAGGGTATGCAAGGTCAGGTCGTGTGCAGGTCATCAGGTACATGAGGCAGCCAACAAGCTCTGCATACGGGCCACTCGACTCTACGGACTCATCCGAAGGCAGAGCTGAGAGCGAGTGGCGAGTAGGCAGAGGAGTGGCCTGAGGCGAGGAGTACGTGAAGCCGAAGCGCTGAAGGACCTGCTGCACCATGTGTGACTGAGTCAGGGTAATGGTGCGGCGTGCTCTGTCCCGGGTGATCTGCAAGCCAAGATAGCTGCGCAGTTCACCCAGGTCAGTGCACGTGTGTCTCTTCTGCAGCTCGGACTTCACGTAGGCGAGTCCAGCAGTGTCAGCTGTGGCAAAGACCAAGTCGTCGACGTACACGAGGATGTAGAACGGCGGCAGAGAGGTGTCGGTGCGCAGAAACAGCGACGGGTCGGCAGTAGAAGGAGCAAACCCAAGTGCCGCGAGCGTAGTCCTCAGTGTGTCGTGCCACTCACGTGGCGCCTGGCGGAGACCGTAGACTGGACGCCGGAGACTCCACTGGGTACCAGGAGGGAAAGACCCAGTGAAGCCAGGTGGGCGGCGCAGCCAGATCTCCTCGTGCAGGCTGCCCTGCAAGAAAGCTGTGCTGAAGTCGAGAGAGTGCAGCTCGTAGTCACGGTGAGCAGCAACGTGCAGCAGGACCCGAAGAGTGGTCATCTTCGGGGTGGGGGAGAAGGTCTGAAAGTAGTCAACCCCCTGCCGCTGACTGAAGCCACGAGCCACGTAACGCGCCTTGAAGACAGGCGGAGAACCCGGCGGCCGCTTCACCCTGAAAATCCACATGCCACTGACGATGTTCGCCCCAGGGGGGGGAACAGCGTCAACGTAGGTGCCTGTGGACTTCCAGGAAGCCATCTCTGCATCCATAGCTGCCTGCCACTGAGAGGAGTAGGGACCCTCTATCGCCTCCGCGTAAGAGCGCGGAGTCGGGATGTCTGGTGCATCCGGGTCTCCCTCAGGGGCTAGCAGTACAGACGCGAGACGAGGTGAAGCGGCGGCCAGACACTGGAACTCCTCCTGCCTGTCCTCAAGGACGTCCGTGCCAAGGGCACACTCACCCCCGACGGACGGAGGACAGGCGGACTCAGACTCAGTGACAAGACGAGCAGCGTAGTCTAGACGACAGCGCGCAGCAAAGTCGACAAGCTCAGTGACAAGGGCAGACGCAGCAGACGACTCGAAGGAAGGGTCAGTGACAGCTGTAGCAAGGAGACGCGTGACAGTAGGACTGGCAGCACGAAGGGAGTCCGACTCCGGGTCGGCAAGAGCAGGAAGAGAGGAAGCAGGAGGAGAAGGCAAAGGGGCACGCAGAGGAGCAGTGGACGGACGCAGTGACATCCGGTGCGTGCCAGGGACAGGAGGAGGACGCTGACGCGACCCGCGACCACTAGCGCGCTCAGTACGAACAGGCGACACAGGACGAGACGCAGGCTCACGACGCTCAGTAAGACCTCCAGTCGGACCAGTGTAGGGAGACGGAGCAGGCAAAGGGGAGGCAGGCTGTAGCTGTGGCTGTGACCGGACAGGCTGCGGACCCTCTAAGGGAGGAGGAGGAGGAGGCGGAAGACCAAGAACCTGCTGCAGGAGCGGAACGAAGTAAGGTCGGGGCCGCGCGGCGACACCAGAAACAGCAGGAACAGTACCAGCAGCCCCGGCAGGAGTACCCACTCCAGCAGCACCTCCAGCAGCACCACCAGAAGCTCCAGAACCTCCAGCAGCAGCACCAGGAGCACTGTCAGTCGGACCGCCAACGGCAGGCTCAGCGCCAACACCCTCAGTAGCACCAGCTCCAGGAGAACTCTCAGACCCAGCAGCTCCAGCACCCACAGTACGAGCACCGGCGGGACGCGAGGCAGCAGTACCCTCAGCAGCCGAAGAACCACCAGCACCAGCAGCACACCTCCAGCGCCTGGCAAACCACTCACGCAGCTCCTGCGGGGAGAGTGGCTCCCGGCGAGACGAAGCACCCCCAGGCACAGCACCCCCAGGCTCAGCACCCCCAGGCACAGCACCCCCAGGCTCGGCACCTCCAGGCTCAGCACCCCCAGACGCAGCACCCCCAGGCTCAGCACCCCTAGGCACAGCACCCCCAGGCTCAGCACCCCCAGGCTCAGCACCCCCAGACTCCGCACCCCCAGGCTCAGCTCCCGCAGCAGCACCAGAGTCACCAGTGACCTCGACAGGCTCGACCGCGTCTACCTGGGACACACCCGAAGGGGCAGGACCCTGAGGGGGGAGGGGGACTACCGAGGGGGGACCTGGTACCAGGAAGAGCGGGGGTGGGGGGAGGGACGGAGTGCGGTAGGGGAAGAGGCGGTAGTAGGGTACCGACTCGTCGAACGTGACGTCCTGGGAGGACAGAACACGTCGAGAGGTGGGGTGGTAAAACTGCCACCCAGGGGCGTCGGGGGGGAACCCCAGGAAGACGCAGGGAGAAGCACGAGGGGACAGCTTGTCCGCAGACACGTCGCGAACAAACGCCCGAGATCCCCAGACCCGGAACGCCGACGCATCGCCAACCTTCCCCGTCCACAGCAGGGCTGGGGAGGTCTCCGGTCGAGAGACCCTGGGGTGGAGGTTGATCTGGTGCGCAGCGTACCTGACCGCAAACGGCCACAGAAAATGGGGAGCAGCCGCATGCATCATGGACGTACGAGCGACGTCCATGACCATGCCAATGCGGCGCTCAGCAATCCCATTCTGCTGTGGTGAGTCCGGAAGCGTGAAGGTCTGACGGATGCCTCGTGCACGACAGTAGGCACTCAGGAGGCCAGAGGACAACTCTCCGCCTCTGTCCGAGTGCAGACGCAAAACAGGGAAGTCAGAGCCAAAGCTCCTCCTAAGCTGGAGACGAGCTGCGCGGATCCAGTCGATCAACACCGCAGTGACCTCACCCTTGCTGCGCAAGGGGAAGACTGTGGTGTAACGCGAGTAGTCGTCAACCACCAGCAGGAAGTAGCGCTCCTGACCCTGTCCACGGACGCGGGCTGGGCCCCACACGTCCATGTGAAGCGTCTGCAACGGGGCCTCTGTCGGAGGAAACTGGGAGGAGTGAGGGGCAGCCCGCTGGCGCCCCTCGACACAGGGGACACAGGTAGGGCCAGGGCCCGGAGGAAGGGGAGGGAGAGACCGGGGAAGACCAGACACAAGGACTCGCGAGGCCATGCCTCTGAGCCGAAGCAGAGAGGGGTGGCCAAGGCGGTGGTGCCAGAGGAGGGTCTCGTGAGACAGACGACGACACGAGCAGGGGGCAGACTCAGGACCAGACCTGGACGCTGCAGCAAACACCTGACCAGACGAAGGGACCCTACCAGACTCAGCACCTGGAGGAGAAGCAGTGGTCAGTGTGTACAGGCTCGACCCTGGCCGACGTGTAAACGTAGCCAGGTGGCGACCTGTATCCGCCTCCGTGCAGTGGGTCACCCGCTGACGAGCAGGGGTGAACTGGTGGACACCCGCATCCTGGAGGTCAGCACCACTCACCAAGT